CTTGAAGTGATCATACTTGTATGATAATGTTCCTTGTATAATTCATATATATATGCATGAAAACATGTCGTTAGACTGCTATTTTTTATATGACGCATATGTTTATAAGCATATCATTTGAGAAACAAAATTAAATTCAGCCAATTTGTTTAAAAGTTATCTGAAGTTTTTTCAACAAGTTTATTTCGCTAATTAAAACCATTAGACATTTTTTTTTCTTCGTAGCATGGATAATATTGTACATTAAATTACCAAATGAAAGTCAAATAATGTTCAAAATGGCAAGCAATATGATTGGCTCTTTGGCGTGTGGACCTTGTAAACCGAAAAAATAACATATGAGAAAGGAATAAAACAACGAATGTGGCTTTAAGTTAAAGATAAAAATACGGAAATGCGATCATTTCTTATAAATATCCAAAAATATTTAAATTGGATATAATTTCTTACTTATACATGCATTGGAGAAGCTAATAAACAATGGTGTGAATGGAACCTTAGATGGTATCGGGATTTAAGGTTCTATAGCTAGTGAAAAACTAATATATCGACTAAATAATCATACTTTAGAAGTTGTCGACATTTTTTATTTATTTTTATTTTTATCAACCACACAATTACTTAAAAGTTAAAGTTATCGTCATGTTGATCAAATAGTTTTTATTTTAAACGATGGTGGAAGATCTTGAGAATTGATTTGGTATTTGGTGTGGAAATTCCAAACTATGAACAATACATAAAGTATAGTATTGATTAGAGGGGGAAAATGTATGAAGTAACATGATCCAAAGGCACATTGGGACTACAAGTCTACAATATATGCTTGGCTTTGAAGGGAAAAAAAAATAAAAAGAGGAAGACTTACTCTTTTCAGATATTTCTTCACTTAGGGTTTTAGCTCCAATCCCAAGTCTTGACTAAATACGGTCCATTGCTTATCCACTAATTTCAATCCTTGGAACTTGGAATATAAGACTTCTTGTTCAAACACCCACCAGCAAGTGGTAGATTAGGCCCATGTTTGATTTCAATTATACCATTTAGGGTCCACATAAGCCCAAAATTAATCCGCAAGCCTAGTATGAAGAAATGAAAACATATTACAAAATTCGAAAATAGATCATTTCTGATATACAAAGAAAAAAAAAAAACCTATTTTGAATTTTGAGGGGATATAGACAAGTCATTGCGTGAATTATGTGCCTTATGTATTTTAATTATTTGGTCAATATAAACTAAACATTTAGTAGAATTTGTTACAAACCAGGGAACTTTTTTCATAAATCAAGTAGTATTTCAACATAATTTTTTTTTTGAAATTTATTAAAAAAATGGAATCAAACCAATTTATAGAATATATCAAATTTTATCATCTGGAATACAAAACAAAAAAAGAAATTGGCATCAATAACCATAAATTTTTTTATAATTGGCAATATAACAAAAAACATTCCATGTGGCAAAATCATAATCACTCATTTTAATGTTTTTGGTTAGATCGCCAATTATAATATATTTTTTGGTTATTACATAAATTAACCCAAACATAAATGATTTGTCAATATCACAAAAAAAAAAAAAACTCATCTTCACATTAAAATTGCAAATCTAACGGTGTAGAAAAAATGAAAAAAAAATAATACAATGGCTAGTTGTGTCAACAAAAGAAATTTAATAAAACGATCGAGTCTCGTACACACGTCAGCATTGGGACCCATTTTCAATCACCGGGAAATTTTCATTTCCTTCTTTGACTATTCTCACGCGCCACCGTCATCGACCACGTACCGTGATTGGCTGAGACTTTCCACCGTCAATATTGATGATGCTTCACAATCCCAAATTCTCCTTTTCAGTTCCGAAAAAGACCCCAAAGAATAAAATCCGATCAAAAGAACCCAAAAGCAGATATTTTTATTTGAAAAGGACCGATTTTTTTCCTTTTTTTTTTGAGAATTCCGGGGAAAATGAAGCCGGAGACGGTGACGCTGATTCTGGTGAATCTCGCCGGAATAATGGAGAGAGCCGACGAATCTCTACTTCCAGGTGTATACAGAGAAGTCGGTGCGGCTCTTCACACCGATCCAACCGGACTCGGGTCGTTGACACTGCTACGATCCATGGTTCAAGCCATTTGCTATCCTTTAGCTGCTTACATGGCAATCCGACACAACCGAGCTCATGTTATAGCTCTCGGTGCATTTCTCTGGTCCGCTGCTACTTTCCTTGTCGCTTTCTCTTCCACTTTCTTCCAGGTTCTTGTCTCAATTCCTCAAGACGATTGTGGGTTTTTATGGGTTTTGGGTTTAGTGTGATGATTCATAATCTCTTTGATTGTTTTGGTAGGTAGCTGTATCGAGAGCTTTGAATGGGATTGGTCTTGCACTAGTGGCTCCAGCGATTCAATCTCTTGTTGCTGATTCGACCGATGATGCAAACCGTGGTACTGCTTTTGGATGGTTGCAATTAACGGCGAATCTTGGTTCGATCTTAGGTGGGCTTTGTTCTGTTTTGATAGCTCCATTTACTGTAATGGGTATACCTGGTTGGAGAGTTGCGTTCCATATTGTAGGTGTGATTAGTGTTGTAGTTGGTGTGTTGGTTCGAGTTTTCGCCAATGACCCGCATTTTGTGAAGGATGGTGTTAATGTACCGAATCAACGAGTTTCGAGGAAACCTTTTTGCTCGGAGGTGAAGGATTTGGTTAGGGAAGCTGATACTGTCGCAAGGATTCGGTCTTTTCAGATCATTGTGGCTCAGGGAGTGACAGGGTCGTTTCCTTGGTCTGCTCTTTCTTTTGCACCAATGTGGTTGGAACTCATCGGGTTCTCACATGGGAAAACTGCGTTCTTGATGGGTCTTTTCGTGGCTGCGTCTTCTCTTGGTGGTTTATTTGGAGGTAAAATGGGTGATTTTCTGTCTACACGTCTTCCTAATTCCGGAAGAATCATTCTCGCACAGATTAGTTCGGCCTCAGCGATCCCGCTCGCTGCAATTCTCTTGTTGGTTTTACCAGATGATCCATCTACGGCCGCAATTCATGGTCTGATCTTAGTCCTATTGGGGCTGTTTGTTTCTTGGAATGCTCCTGCTACCAACAAGTAAAACCTCTCTCTCCTTTACTACGCCTATTAGTCGTAACTCTCTATCGTTCTTTAACTGTTTTGGCTGATACTGGTGAATCAAACGCAGCCCAATCTTCGCGGAAATTGTTCCAGAGAAATCAAGAACAAGTGTCTACGCATTGGACAAATCGTTTGAGTCGATCTTGTCGTCGTTTGCTCCTCCTATAGTTGGAATCTTGGCGCAGCATGTTTATGGATATAAGCCAATCCCCGAAGGGTCATCAAGGTCAACAGAGATAGCCACAGATAGAGAGAATGCTGCATCTCTGGCAAAAGCTCTGTATACATCTATAGGAATCCCAATGGCGGCTTGCTGCTTCATCTACTCCTTTCTCTACCGTACCTATCCTCTAGACAGAGATCGTGCTCGGATGGTAGCTTTTATAGATTCCGAGATGCGTGAGCTGCTTCCCGAAAGTTCCAGCACAGTCATCGAGTTTTCACAAGAAGAGCCTTTTACAAACCAGGTTAAAACCAATTTACAAGCTAGTATATAGGAACATTTGCACAAAAAGCTTTACAAAATAGGTTATTGTGTATGCTCTTTTGAGTTGTTACAATGTGTATAACTTTACACCAAATTGTGTATATTTTCAAGGATTTAAGCTATTCATAAGAAGGTGAGCTTATCTGTTTGGTTTTGTGGCGGAGAGCATTATAAATGGCCCGTTTCTAACACAAGTGAAGCCAACGAGTCCGCAGGCTTTACAGAGATCTTCAAGCTCACTTTCACTCAGAAAGATGTGAGAACCTGAATATCTCATTATTTCCTATCATTTGCAAAACCGGAATGCATAATCAGCCACAGAAGCAAACGAGAAGAAAATGAGGCAAGACAACAATTGAATGTGTTTTAAGGGTTAGAAGAAGTAACATGTACACACCTGACGAATATTCTTCAACAACGGGATAAAACTGAACGGACCGTCATAGATGAATGTGGTGGCAACAAATACTCCTCCAGGTTTAAGAACACGGCTTATCTCAGCAACCTAGAACGATCCAAAGAGAACATTAACCATTGTATGTGTGATTTTTTTACTAAATTTTCAATTAGGAAAAAGGCTTTACGGCTGAGGATGGTGAAGGCCAGCAATGCAGAGCAGCACCAGCATGGACAGCGTCAACTGAACCCGAAAGGAAAGGGAGTCGAGCGATGTCTGCTCGGACCAGAACAAGTTTCCTAGAAATGTTATAGCGAAATCAGAAAACACATCTAGTTACCCAAGATATTTAAGACAATAGTGGAAGCAAAAGGTAAAAGTACTAACTCTTTGTTGGGAAAGTTATCTTCTTGGTTTAAGAGTTCATAGCACTGCCGTAGCATATTCTCAGAGTAATCAAGGGCAATCACCAGAGAAAACAGCCCGCTTCTGGCAAATAACCTCGAGAACATCCCACTTCCGCAGCTAGCATCAATGATATTGCCTCCCAAAAAAGGCTTCAGGTAGTCTTTAGCCATTTCAAACTAAGGAACACAATGTTCACAGTGTCACTACTCGCTCTGGCCGTAGATGGTTAGATTAAGAACATATTACATACGTTCTTGCAGTGAACGAAGTGGCCTTTTTAAGAACAAGAGAGTTTTTCATCTCACCTCTTTCTCTGGTCCTGGAAAACCACCCCATATGAAATTCTGACGCCAACCCCGTTCGTAAAGGAAGGAGACTAACGGAGTCCTATACATCAACAACGCCAAAGAATCTCTGTTACAAAATTAAGACTAGAGCCTAAAACATTGACTAAAGAACCMATGAAAGCATATCATCCACCTGAATAACTCGGTGGAAAGTGGCATTGGTTCATTGTATTGCTTGCTTCCACTAGCCACAGCTAAATCAAGATGCGTCTCATTACCCGAAAACCTCCTTTTACAGGTATTGCATTGTAATTGAGTACCAGAAACAGTAGATTCTCTGTAGGCAAAATATACAAAACTCATTTTTAACTCATTTTCTCAATCCTAATTTCTGAATAAACGTACCATATCAATGAACAGTGATGAGTACTCACATTAATCCATTAGGTTGACTAATCCATACTAAAGAGTTATAACAAATGGGACAAGCTAAAATCTTCTTCTCTTTCTCGATAACAGAATCCACCTGCAAGAAAATCGAAATCATCAACCAAATCCCACTCACGATGAACATTTCAAAACCAAAACGGAATATAAATCTGATTCCGTCGGAAATACCCAAGTCGAATCTGTTCCTAAAAATGAGTAAAGAGAGTTTGAGAAGAAGAAAAATCTTACACTTGACTTCGTTTCGACGGAGACGGAGGAAGAAGAAGAGGCGCGAGGTGATCTGGGAACGAAAACAACGCGTCTTTGATCGGAATACTTGACGGGAAGCAACCGGGAGATGGAAAACCTAGCCGGAAGAATCGCCGGCGAGAATCGACTGGTAATAACCATCATCGGCATTTTTTCACGCTTCCGTGGCTACCTAGTGAGCACGAAGCTTTCGCTAAAGAAAAGAAAATTCACAGAATTCACGTGAATGAAAAAAGTTTGAAACACATTTTAAATTAAAATTATCAGAATTTGTT